GTGTGTGTGTGTGCACAACACACGACAGAAAACGCTACCAGTGAGTGTGCATATGTTAAACTGTAAAGTAACGATCATCCATTCAGCAACGATCTTCAAGATCATTCAGTTCATCCAGCAATGATCTTCAAGTTCTGCCCAAAAACGTGTGCTTATACCGATAACCCTGGTGCGCAGCTGTTGATTGGAATGTGCCAATACTTCTGAAATAATCTCAAAAACTGAGTACGCGCTCGTAAAAAGGAGGCGCCTGTTTTTTGCACCTTTTGCCTTGGCCGAGCCACTTGTACGTTGCTACTTGGTTGTGGACCTGAAAAGTACTCAAGCCATAATATTGCGAAATCAGGCAGTGCCAAGGGCAACAATGAATACTGGCTGAGATATCAAAAAATAGATTTTCAAGAATTACTCAGCACCGTGTTTTGCAGGTGGTATTTGAGCTTCCCGATGTGGACGATCAGGCGACCCTTCGAAAAGATTCCGTTGCAACTGATCATTCCAGGTAAAGAAGCTCTTCAGCAGTTGATTGTAAGTTTTGGTTCTGACTGCCTTCTCGGCTCTGGAACACTTAAATAACTTTAATACATGCCTGTCTTAATCTCCATTTTTACTGAAGTTGCTGGAGTCTGAAGTTTTGAAAAGAGCAAATGCGGAATGGATAAGTTTTACAACGCTTGTTTTTTGTAATGCCGTACGTATGAGTAATTGAGAAAGCTCAGCGAGGCGCAAATCACCTTGGAGCGCCTTCCGGCCATCGAGAATTACCGCTTAACGCTTCAAGCCTCGAAAAATGCGTACACTGGTGTTCGACCAACGATTGTAGAGCTAATGCATGGAGCACGCGAAGCTGCCGTTGCGGAAAAGGTACGTATTGCTTTACTAGTTAACGTATCGAATTAACTGGCTAAGTGGACAGTGAATTATGTTGCTCTTTTTGGGTTAAGCACCTAAGTCTCATACGGATGCAGCAGAAATGAGAATGCATTTTACCAACAATTATATGCAAAAATTTATGGCGATCATACATGCTGTAGGTTAAGATTCCACACAGCCCAACAATGCAACATTATCCTCACAGCCGACGCACCTTTCCCCTCTAATACTGACTTCTTCTGAACTGTTCCTTAAACATTTCAGGACTTTGAAATGCAACGATCGCGCCGGATGAGCACAATTAAGCCATACAGTCCAAAATTACCTCCATCAAAACCAAAGAAGGACTTTTTTCAGGTATCTCTCCAAAATTGGCATCTACTATTTCTTAACTCCCGAATTTCCATGCCTCATTTTCAGGGTGTATTTATACCTGTTTTCACAAACATTGTCGGCGCACTGCTGTATCTACGGAATAGCTGGGTAGCTGGACAAGCCGGTCTTCGTAAGTGCATCACTAATAATTCTATGTACATGCAATTTGCTCAGGGGACCAAACTGATGCACTGCACGTCAGAGGAACTTGCAGCCGTGCAGAAAGCATTTTTCCCAGCGACTCAGCACTTTCATCAATATTCGCAGTCACTGCATTAACAATTTTTTTTT